GTCAGTTATCTTTTATTATCAAATGTAAGTACATCCTGTGTACTTGCTGAGTCATCGGCTCACCTTTCTTCTCTTTTCCAGATTCTCGTGGCCACCACCGAAATCACACTGCTCTGCGCGCCCCATCCAACAACGTACCTACCTACAGGCTAGACGAAAACTTATCAACAGCTGGTCGTTACAAGCTGGTCCATAGCACCACTTCAGTTTCCCAGCATTCAGCCTGAAGGTGAATGGGATATAGATGCAAGTCCTCCAAATCTCCTACGAATTCAGAAGTCTCTTCCTAACTTGATAAAATGTGAAGCAGCAGGATCAGGTGGTTCGTCACCCATTGTTAAGGATGGAGGTAGGAAAGTACTGAATATCGTAAAAGAGGTTCTAGCCAATGCATAGGAGTCAGAGGTAGCCTCATCAAACTGTTCAAGTCGTTCATCATATCAGTCTATTAGAAAAGAAAGATGTTTTCTTGTGACAGTCACAGCGGAATCAGTTGACTAACTCTCACCCAAGATTATGGGGTCCGCAGTTTTATGGTGCCTAACTGCAGCATGGAAAAACCAGGTAAGCATCAGATCTGAAAGAGGGTGCATTGCTCAAATCTTTGTCTTCCGTCAGGTTGCGTAACAGAGGCATACTTGCGGGCACCTGAAACCTGCCATGTTTCTTGACGTAGAAGCAACCTTCAACTTTGTTCACCGAGAGGTGTTTCAGCAGTCTCTAAGTGTAAAGGGAATACTAAGCATATATGAAACGCTAATCAGAGCTCCCTGATCGAACTCAGCCATGTAACGGCTTATGGAAAGTTGATACTGGGTGATGATTGAAGATGAAATGAAAATTTGGAGCGCAGCCGGATTCAAACCAGCGACCACCGAGTTTCCAGGTCGGTGCTTTACCAACTGAGCGGCGAGGTTATTTCACCTTCAATCATCACCCAGTATCAATAATAGTCCGCAAAACCACGCGTATCTCAGATAGTCAAAATAATGATGACAGAAAGTTGTTATCTGAATTGGCGACCACCAGTAGTATCCGATATGGATATCCACTCTCACCATTCCTCCTCCATTTCGTTACAGATGTACTAGTGGAAATACCTCCGACTTCACAACAATTAATCTACTGTCTACACGACATGTGGATGATTTGGGGTGCGCAGACGATACTGTCGTGTTAGATAAAGACGCTGATAAAATACAGGGTCTTCCGAACGTCTTGCCTAGGTACAGCTCGGCCCCCAAACAAGCGAAAGGGTCATTCGGGGTTTAGGTCACTCTTATCCGGTTGACGAAATTTACGGACCAAACTAAGTGGTTTCTAACTCCTCAGTATTGATAGGAATCTGAGTATGTCTGGCTGACATGGATTTCGCACTTGTAAAATGTGAGATGATGCTTGAGGACTGGCTTGCAACCACCCTCAGTCTAAGGATAGGAAGCGGAGCGATAGAATGCATCAAACACTTCATCTACTTGGGTACATACATCAGCCAGAACGGGCTGCTTGCTGATGAAATCACAGCCGGTACACTAAAGGTACGTTTGGTATTTGTCAGTTTGCATCACCTCTGACGCCGGCTGGCGGGATATCCGACTACTCATTAAAAGACCAGTGTGCTACACTGAAGTTCGCCCCATCCTATCATGCAGCTGTTGACCATGGTCTTTAAAAGTATAAGCTAAGAGGAGGCTACAGGTTCTTGACTGAAGACATCCTCGTAGTATTACTTCTTGTGGTAAAAACCACCGTTCTCATGATAAAACCAAAGTACCAGGTAAGGAATGCAAGTCCTTAGTTGAGATTGTGGACCTTATCCGCCGACTGAGGTGACTTGGAAATGAAAAGCCCTTCTCAAGCTACCGCTCACTTCAGAGTACAATTTTAGCCGTAGAAGAATTAGGACGAAAGAAGGTTAAGGAAGGCCAAGACATGGCACAGGCTAGTGAAGTGTCTAGTTGTTGGTGTGAAAGTAGACTGCCTGGTTGGGGTCCTTGAAATGATAGGAATAAATGGCCGGAAACCTTTGGTGACATGGCTGAAAACCAGTCACAACAGCGTAGATATACTCACTCTTTTACGTTTTGTGTTTGAACATTCTCACTAACCCTGGTTTTCAAATCCCTTCTTCTCCTATACACCTTTGTCTATTTTCGTATCACTTGTTTCTAGCATGCTGCTGTGAATTGTGGCAACTTGAACCGACTCATTTCTGTGCGAAGTTCGACGCTTATCTTGTCTCTCGGTCCTTGATTACACTAAAAGTTCAGAGGTAAGATATACTAGTTTTATTTTTTCGAATAATCTATTACAACTGTTTCTCGAAGGCTGCATGCATTTAGAGAACCTCTGAGGTAAAAAAAAGCATCGCCTCACGCAAATGACGTTTTGTTTGCATTGATCAAACAAGATACATGAGTTACTGGACTCTTATTTTGTCTTGGTTCTGGATTTCCCGACTGTGTACAATAAATATTAACTACCGATATCTGCATCTGGAACTTGAAATCGTTACATCAATACAACACTAACTCAAGCGGTATATTCAACGTTCTTATGGAATATACGTCTTGAATGAATTCACTCATGAATAACATTTGGGACAGCTCGCAGTATGAGTCCAATTGTTATTAATGCAAAGCAATTATCATCCAGTGATTTTGTTCACTCGCCAGTTCTCGTCGAAGTTGAAAGCAAATATTTAACGTTGTTTGGTAGGGTTGTTGCGGGTGCAGGTCATTTCCTCACACCAACGGTGACTACATCTTAACGATCCCCTGGTCGGACCTAGGGTGCTATTGAGGGATTCAAGCATTTGGCCTATGGTCGACACACGAAAAAGTCCCTCTAGTTGAGCCTCTTTATAATATGATAGTAGTGAACGTTAGTGATATACTATTTTACGAATGATTAAACTTACTAGCCTTCGTTCTCCAACCCACAGCCACTACTCGGATGTCGTGATTGGGCTTGCATACCGCAACGGTCAACAAGGCGAGAACATTTACTCTTTAAGGTTCTATCAGAAAGGCTATTGAACAGTGATAAGACAAAAACCAGCTTCTGTTATGATGTAAATAGCCTGAGCTATGATATGAACCCGAAGTCCTACTGTTGGCTGGATGGGAGTGTAACAACAGTATGGTGTTTCCGCGGATGGCCAACAGTGTCATGATGATGTTGCTTTCCTGTGAGAAGGGAAGGTTAAAAATAGCCAGTTTCAAACACAGCACACCTAATTATCGCGAGGTCTCCTGACGCCGGCAGTACAGGTTATTTAACTGGATTTAAATAACTTAAACCTTAAATATTCAAACAGGCGTACGTAACTAGCCTCAAAGAAACATACCTTTGGCTAGGTAATAACATGAAACCAATATTTCCTCCCTTTCAGGTATCTCAGGTTGTAAGATTTTACGGTGTTGGGGACCGGGAAGTACAAACCGTCCTAGCGACACTCGACTTGCTTCTCATCGTCACCAGCCTTCCAAACCTTTTGTCAATACTCCTACATCATCTTTAATTTCATCCAGTGATACAGCCCTTGGTCACTATCCAAGTTCACGCAAAAGTATCCATGGTCTCCTGAAACCACACTCAAAGCTAACGATAAGAGCTCTCTATGTTCGTGCCATTCCCCAAAAAGGAAAAAAAGCTTTGCTATACAAATCCTTGCATCTCACGGCGTGTTGTGGATCATGTATACAAGAACTAAATGTTTTTATCCACCTAGCATAACTCAGTTATTGTGGTGAGTCTGTAAAACTCGATTTCACGCCCTCTAGGTTTAGCAATTTGCCAAAGCAGAAAGCTCACCGTTCACCCGGAACCCAGTTGACAGTCGCCTATCTGCTGTCCGACCGAACAGCATAGAAATAACTAAGAAATAGTAATGAAACTTGCCACTATGTTTTTGCAACCTCTGCTTACGCACCTACTGAGTGAAGCTGAGTCCCAGCGAAAACTGTCTGGCCTCCTAATGAAAGCCCGTCTTTCAGCAGTGGTTGTTGTAGCAGGTAGTTTCAATGCTTAGGTGAGTTAGCCAAGTTAGGCAGAGAGGCACTTTCAAAATCCCAGCCGGACGAATATATAACGGCAACCATCTGCCAAAACTGTTGACACGCATTTCAGGCCAGCACGAACTAGAGACGTGGAGAGAGTTCGTCGGAAGTTACATCCACAGGCCTCAACTCAGTTGTGGCCATATAAATCACATTGTTATTAAACACTGCTGTGGATGGCCGGCCGGAAGATTGCCGATCCTTCTGGAGATTTCAGCACGCCCGTGTCTGTACTTAGTAGAAAAACGACAGTGACAAGACCATTGCGAACGTAGCTGGACCATGAGGATGCAAAGACTCCTTCTAGTGAGGAACTGGATAGACAGTTGTCGGTACAGAACAACCTCACTCATCCAGAAGAAGCCTAGCTCCATCTCCAGTCTTCTGCAAAAATAGAGGTGAAGACTGTACTTGATTCTCAGAGAGCGATTAAAAAAGACCAGTGGATCTCTGCATCCTCTTCTGAATTAATGGATACGCCCAAACACACCCTAGCAGGCTGCGAGGACAATGAGGAGCGGGAGCTACTCGAATGTAGACTGACGAAAGGCCTAAGCAATGACTGCGAAGTCGTCGACAGCGAAAGTTGTAAGGGTGGAAAAAGCAGAGACGAAAGATAACAGCACAGCTATCTAGACTGATCAAGGGAACAGCGGCCAAGAAGCAGAAATATCACTTGTTCGCAGCAGAGGGCAGATGGGAGACCTGAGATTCACTCAAACAACAGATGATTGACAGAATACTTTGAGAAACAGTGCAGTCCGCATCCAGCTACTATTCTGCTGTCCGTCTTGCGGTCGGACGTTCGACAGGACACCGAGACAGACCCTCCAACGCTTGTAGAAGTCGAGGAGGTGGAATGTGACGAGAAAGGGCAGTAGGCCCTGGCGACCCAGTATCACACCCATTTAGGGCAGGGTCATTTGGAATGTTAACCAGCGTATGAGAACCAGATATGGTCTCAATCTCTGATTATCCCGTTCTTCAAGAAGGGAAAGAAACTCTTTTGGGTTAGTAGTGGGAAATCAAGTTGACAAACAGTGTATACAGTTCCAGACTATATTACTATTAGGTGCCTCAGTAGGGCTCATGAACAGCAGAGCCGTTGAGACCAGAAAGATTTGACCAGTCCACCTACGTCGGACCACCCCTGGTGCATCACTACTAGTAGAGACAACATACCTACACTGGACCATTAGGTTCGATTGGCTTTCGCGTGCTTACGCTGCTGTGATACTAACTGCCTCAGTTCTACTATGTAGCTGCGAGACATGGGGTTGAAGGTAGAGGACATACGGAGACGCTCCAGGTATTTGACCATAGTTGCCTTGGTAACACAGGCTATATATTGGAGTACCCCAGTTCAGTTACGTAGAAGTCAGGCGTAGTTTTCAGGTAGAAGAGGAAAGTCAGTTGATGAGACTATGCAGCTATAACAACTGGGATATGCGTGACGCATGCCTAGTCACCGTTTGCATTATTACACTTTGTTAGCTGATATATGTTCAGACGGGGGAAAAAATTAGCAGTGGTCAGACTAAAACATAACATCAATCCACTTAGTCCTTTACTGTCAGTCTCAGATGTGCAGTGATGAGATGCAAGGCTTTCAGTTGGGGTTTGCATGATAATCTAAACCGGTGGTTGAAGACAAAGTGATATAGCTCAGAACTGATCGGAATGGTAAGAATGTATCCACATATTACCTTAATCGCTGCGCTGAATCTCACTATTGTTACCTCTTCTTGGTCCACTGTTTTCTTCCTGATTTCTATATCTCTCATCTCGATGTAATCCCGCCCAATGTTCTGATATGTGGTTTAGTTCTTTGTGCAGTAACACCAAGTCCCATGTTAATATTGACTGGTCGACTGACTGAGCGCAGCTTTCGTTCCGTTACTCTGACCAGGTCAAGCAAAAATAGCGGGTAAAACACAAACTATGTAACTTAGCGGCTTGGAGATTACCCCAGTGACGTTAAAGACGAAAACTAAGATGACTGATTATATAAAAAAATTTATAAGGTAAATCATGAGATTAATCAACCAGATTTGAAAACAAGAATTGCGACTTGTCCAATGTATACGTAGATAAAATGTTTTGTTTCATGAGTTACATAGCTAAAAGGAATAAAGGAAAAGACAGCCTAATGAAACAATTCACAGCAGACAAAATTGACTACAACCATGTTAGTATCTAAAACACTACGTCTGTCAACCAAATAGACGAGTATCAGCGATCAGCACGAAAACCAATACCTGTCCCCACATAACTAATTATTTCGCAAACTATTTATTTGAAACCCCACTAATCGCAATATGAATTGTGAATTAAGACAAAAACTGCAGAGGTCCTAGAGACCTGACCGGTCGAAATGAAGTGTCAACATCTTCCTGAATGAAGTATCAGATTAACCAATTGACTTTTGTACAATGATGTTTGAAGATAAACACGAATCCACATGTCCAGTGTAAATTAGTGGAAAAAGTGACTCATACAGGATACTTTATAAACCAGCTGGATCTGTTTAGTAACAATGATGAAGCTAGTTCATAAATCTGACTATTCAAAAGAATCAAGTATAACGACATATCCTGATACATTAGTAGGAAAAATTGGTAAATGCTAATTATTATCTACGGGGATGGTTGATAAAACATAGGACTGCTAAGCAGTCATAATACCTCCTTCAGCAGTTCGAAGCAAATACCCAGTGATATAATAACAACACAACTCCACTCGGCACATGTTTCATGTACTAGGCTATATAGCCGTACACGCGCAGTTGGCACCTTTGTCTCGTCTGCAATCACAGCAGCTTTTCTAAACTAGCACATATTACCGCTACTCCGATAAGAGCACGACTTAGTGGTATAGGAGGGAAACCTGAAGTGAATAATCGCTCAAATAACGATTAAAATAACCAAATAGGATTCTGAATTCCAACCGGAAAGGTAGATCTTTATAAAATACAAGAATCTAATTGGTTATTTCGCTAGTTGCTTTAGTGGCCTTTAGAGTCACTCGAATAACCACCACCAAAGTGTAACTTTAGCCAGACCAAGAAGACAACAGATATGTGAATACTCACTTAACGCTACCTAGTAAGGATTCTACTATCAAACAATAGACAGAAAAATCTAGTATCCTACCTAAAGTACAGGAACTACATCAAACCAGAGTGCCCCCAAGGGGGACTATAGGAACACAACTGAAATGAATAGCTGTTTCTTCACTTCATAAAAAACTACTATCGCAGTGGAAATAGTAAGAAATAATTGGTTATCTCAGCGGTTGCTAGTGTGACCTTTGAAGTAAATCACTAATATTTGGGTCCACGGTTAATTAGCTCTACAACATTAAACCTACTGTCACTAACATTGATGTACAGGGTCGATACCATACCCTGGATGCCTATACCCTGACTGTTGTTGAGTACAAGTGGATGATCCGCCGTTTTAAAAGTTGAACGCCTATCCTAGTAACCTACTAAACCTAAACATATCCTAAACGGTTGGAATACAATGAAAATGTTTATAGTAATTCATATCACTTACCTGCCATAATTCCTCCCAACTATACAATGCCATGTTGGATTGTACTGTTTATCACATTCTTTCTTAATGTAAGCAGCGATATCCTTTTCAATGTTATACTTATCTAATGCCACAGTACAAATGTCCACTACACCCTTTTGCATTTCTTCGGTCATGTCAACATTTTTTATAACAGCCTTCTTTTCTGCCATATGTACAAACAAATACAATATAGAGTAAACTAAAACTGCCACTAATCATGTTGATTTAACGACTACATATATATGCAAATGCATGTTCATGTAAATAAGCCAATCAAATAAAAGTTAAGAAATGGTCACAGTAGCTTGGCTTCATCAATGCCCTTGCGCTCTACGGATTGGATAAGAAACAAGTATGTCACTATAATCTATTCTTATTTTTTCATTGGTTTATTTAGTCACAGAGAAAAGAAGTAGTATTTCAGCTACAAAAAATTTCTCTCTCGACGATATCATTTTTCGAAGTTGCATCACAAACGCATAAGTCTATTTTTGAGATGAATGGGGATTTTTAATCTTTTTGATTTAGAAGTAGTATTCATCATGGACTGACGTTGGGGAACAATTGGAATTCTGGGAGCACTGGACAGCTGTCTCGTCCCATTATGGGACTCCTCAGCGGTACGCACCCACGACCCGGCTGGGGGTCGAACTCAGGACCTCCAGGTTTTATGGCAGATGCGTTAACCATTCAGCCATTGCTTCGGTTTCCAATGGTTCACAATTTCCAAATTCTGCCAATCCACGACATAGAGCGATTGTCACCCAAGGTCTTCAGTTAGCATCCACTTCCGACTGGTTGACCCCACAGGTCACGGCTTCTCATTAAATCTTCTTGATATCCATCTGGAAGGAATTAGAAACCGACCTAGTGGCTGGATGGTTGCCGCGTTCACCGTGAAACCTGAAGGTCCTGAGTTCGATCTGTGGCGGGGTCGTGGGTGCGTACTGCTGACGAGTCCCATACTAGGACGCAACAGCTGTCCAGTGCTCCCAGATTTCCAATGGTTCCCCAACTGATGTCAGTCCATGATGAATACTACTTCTACATAAGTCTATTATTAAACAATAGGGTATAATTACATCATTAGGCTAGTACTAAAAAACGAAAATCAAGAATGAAAGTGAATGCGTAATAATCTTGTAGATAGTGGGAATAACGAGGAAGGTGAGGAGTTTGACAGGGTGGAAATTATCATTTGACTATCTGAGATAGCTGCATTGTTGTTGGCAGATGAGAAATGCGAATATTGAATGTCCATTTGATAGATATAAAGAAGGTGAAGAAGAATGAGAGAAAGGTCATAGTGAAGGTGACAATAATAAACTAAGCAATTACAATGAATTTGACTTCTGTCCTTTAGCGCTAGATTAATGATGCAACCATACCCTGTTGTTTTATTTTTTATATACAATTATTATTATTGCTGTTATTATTATTATTATTTGTACCTTAGGTTCCTAATGGAACTTGGTCTTCAGTAGCACGTCTCCATTCCACTCTCTTCTCTGCAAACTTTTGAACGTGGTTCCACGACAGCCGAGAATCTCTTATTTCTTCCTCACACGATCTCCTCCATGTCTCCATCGCCTCGGACACCCAACCAGTCGTTTCCCATCTGGGTTCCACTCGAGGGACTGGTGCATGATGTCCCCGAATGGTCTTCTCAGTGTATGCCACTTCAATCCATCTCCACTTCCTTCCACTGCATATTTGTTGAGCGATTGCTTCTTGGTTGGTTCGTTGACAGCCAGAGTGAGTTCCTTGTTGCTTATTCTTATCATTCTGGCAATCTATCTGAGCTTCAGTAACGAGCCAGCGTTGGCAGTTGTTGATGAATGAATGTCGATGATGAATGTCTGTAGTTTGTTGGAAATCCCTTTCGTAACCACCAAGTCTCTCAACCATCACATAGAAGCACTGACTTGACTGGATTAGTGTTGAAAATCCTGATCTTGTTCCACATGCTGAATGGAGTGCAGAAGATCTCCACACTGGTTTCAGGCTAATGAACGCCTATCTTGCTTTTCCCATCCTGGCTCCTTTGAAGTCCTTGTCTGTGTCGCCACCTGTAGTTGAAACAGTGCTTCCCTGCCCAGATAGGTGAAGGAGGTTACTTCCTTTAAGTTTCTCCCGTTCATGGTGATTGGAGCTTGTTGTTGGTGGTGGTGGCGGCGTTGGTTGGGTATCATCATCACCTCTGTCTTCTCTACGTCCACTTGAAGCAGGTCCTGTCTTCACTGCCCTGTCCTACCTCTTCTGTCAACTTGTTAGTTTTCGCCTGTAGATCTTCAAGTTTGTGCAGCAAGACATTAGACACAAGTCATCATTGGCGAAATCCAAATCTTCGAGGATCTTCTCCCCTGTTCAGTCAGCGTATCCGTCTATTCTCGATCCTCACAGTTGTCTGCTGCATGATCCAGTCAGTCGACCACAATCAGGAATATCATGGGTGATAGTAGACGGCAGCATTGTTTCACTCCTGTCTTCACTTCACTTCACTCCAAAGGCATCACTGAGCTGAGCTTCCCATTGTGAATTACTTGGCTGGAATGTGGATATTTCAAATAATTGTTGAATGGGATTGACAAAGGATTGCAGTATTCCGCAGTGCTGAGACAACTGCCTGCCAAATTACTTTTCGATCGATGCTGCCAACGGCCTTCTCAAAGTCGATGAAGTTGAGGTGAGGTAGAGTTGAGTTGACTGTCATTCTATGCTCTGTTCTATGATGATGCGAAGCGTTGCAATTTGGTCGGCACATGATTTGTACTTCCTGAAACCAGTCAGCCAGCCTGCCTGTTCCGGTCGTAGTTTTCAATCCAGTGCATCTTTAAGCCTCTCCAGTATGAAGCGGCTTAATATTTTGCTAGCTCTGGGTGGACAGGAGAGTGATCCCACACCAGTTCTTGCAAAGACTAAGGTCTCCCTTCCTTGGGAGTTTGACAAGGTAACCCTTCCTTCAATCGCCAGATAACTTCCCTTCGTTACACAACTTCTGCAGTAGTGGTATGAGCATGTCCACTGCTGATGTCTATGCGTCTGTTCTCAGTGCTTCTGGTGGAATTCAATCTGGTCCTGCTGCTTTTCCGCATTTCAGTAGCTTTATGGCATTCAGGACTTCTGATTTTGGCAGAGGGCCTGTGTTCACTGGTAGTACTGGCGTTGCTGTTGGTATTTCTGAGCTAGCTGCAGTTGGTGGTGGTGGTGGTCGCTTGAAGAGTTTTTCGAAGTGGTCAGCTCATCGCTTCCTTTATCTCTCTTCTTTGGCAATTAAATTTCCTTCATCATCTTTCACTGGTTTCTTCTGTGTCAATTTCTTCCCTCACAGATAGTAACCTGGTTATTTGATACAATGTTGTCAGGTCTCTCCGACATGCAGCCTGTTCCGCTTCACTTGCTAGTGTGTCATGGAAGTGTCTTTTGTTTTTCCGTGCGCTCTTCTTCACTTCTCAGTCCAATGTAGTGTTTTATACATTGTACTCAGACCTCTTCTCGTTGTGCATCCTTGCACTAGTTTATCGTCCGCTTCATCATCCTCCTCTCCTCTATCAGCTCCCATATGTCCGTCGAGATCCATTCCATGTCGTGTCTGTCTTCTTCTTCTTCCTTCCTAATACCGTTATGCAGGTTTCTTTCTACACACCTTTCAAAGAGTTCCAGTGCTCATCCACACAGGTTTCTTTACGGATGTTCCTCGATATATCCCATTTTGTCTTGATGCTTGATATCAAGATGTCCCTTGTAGATTCGTCCTTCAGCTTCCGCGAGTTGAACCTGAACTGTGGTCTATAACCCACTTCCTTGAAGGCTTTCAACTTGATTTGGAAGGTAGGTTCCTTCCACTAGACAGTGAGTGGTCTGAACCTACATCTACTCCCCTTCTTGATCGTGTGTCAAATAGGCTGCGTCTCCACTTTCTTGACATTGAGATGAAGTTGATCTGATTATTAGTGTATCCTGGTGTCTGGTGAAGTAGATGTCGCTGCCTTGTGGATATCCTTGTCCTTGAATACAGTGCCTCCAATAACCAAACCGTGGAATGCGCAGTAATCTGCAAACAAATCTCCATTCTCGTTCATCACCTCATCGAGCGTTTCTCGGCCCATGATTAGTTCTCTTCGTGTGTTGTCCACTCCCAGTTTGGCATTTATGTCACCTCACCCATTAGAGTTTTGATGTCGCCAACTGGAGTCTTGTCTACTACTGATTGCAGTTGTCTGTAGAATTCCCCCTTCTTCTCTTGCTCTGTATTATTTGTTGGCGCGTAGCATTGAATGATTGTGACCTTCCTTCCTTTTGAGCTGAATCTTGCTGTCATGATCCTGATGCTGGAGGAGATTGGTTCCCACTGCATGTAAGAGAGCCTATCATGATGTTCTTGCGGACATCATGATAGCCACCCGATAGCCACTCAGTGTGCTCGTGGTTGTCGTGTCGTCTGGGTGACAATATCGGAGTAGATTATTGACTCTCTTCTCCAGTTGACAGTTTGGAGAGTCCACTTCCATTCCATCTGCCTTTGCAGATTCCCAGCACTTATATGCTATATCTCCTCACTTCTTTTGCAATCTGTGCAGCCTTGGTAGGTTCAAACATGACATGGTGCGGACATTCCTTGTCCCCACGTTTATTTTCACTTTCATCTAGAGAGAGAAGACACATCGGCCAATTGGCTTCCCGAAGGCTTTCACCAACTGGCGTCATTTCGTCTCTCTGATTCCAGAGAGGAATAATTTTGTTTTTATTTTTTATATTTTGTTTGTGATTTGAAGTTTCTTTAGAGGTTGGATTTGTTTTACGGGGTAGGGTTGCTAGCACTATCTATGCCGAACCTTCCCTGTTTACCCGGGCTTAGAACCGGCTAGTAACTAGTGAACTTGTTAACCAGGCAAGGTTATCAATTTTTATGGCTACAGTAAGCTGTGTTTGTTGAAACTGAGAAATTTTAATTTGGTATTCATCAGTGACTGATAATAGTTGGAGATTCAATGAAAACCGGGAGGCACTAGGCAGCTGTTTCCTCTTAGTACGAGACTCCTTAAGAGTGCTCATCCATAAACACACTGTTTCCCATTCGGGAGTGAACCGACGACGTTCAAGTTTTGCTGTGAGCAGGCTACGATTGAGCCAGTGGGTCGCGATTCAGTGATCCACATTTCCCTACTTTTATCAGTGTCATCTTCATCTGTTACAATAGTTGACTGAGTGCTCCCATTTTCAGTTTAGCTTTCTCGTCATCG